CTTCAGCCGTGCCGAACTAAATTCAGGAATTAAGTTCGACAAAAGCACGGCAGAAGCACGGCGTCTGAATCAAACTTTTGAATTAAGATCYGCAAGCAYTTAAGTTCGACAAGSTCTGCCGTGCTACASGACTCTGGCACGGCAGTGATTCAAACGTCGTGCTTCTGTCGCGCCAAACAAAATTCATAAATTATATTAATATATTTTGGCGGGATTGCGTTCCCTCGGGGAGCTAGGAGGAGAGTTGTTACGAGGTATCAGTAAACTCTGAATTTGGTTCGACTCTGGCACGACGTCTGAATCAGAGTTGTTTTTCTGCCGTGCCACAGTCGAACCAAATTGCATTTAAGCTCGGCACGGCAGAAGCACGACGTCTGAACTGGGCCTTACGCCCAGTTGTGACTTTTCAATTACCACATTGATAGCCACCGAAGCTACTGTGACATCAGTTTATACGTTGGAAGGTTACTTCAACATGCCGCAGATTCACAAGGGAACGGACACATCAGATTCATAGAGCGGTTTTCATTTAAGTGTCGAAAAGAAATCGGTTTTGGATTACTACGACAGACTATTAGCTTAAAAAACTCGCGCCAACCTGAAGTAAAACCAAAACCAATCGTCATTCGTTCGCACATGTTTTGTCGTGCTTCGCGTTTCCATTGGATTGCTTGTGTCCTTTGTGATTGGCTAGAGTGATTACTTTGGTTTTGGGTTTATGACACTCATTTGAAATTCGCTTTATCGTCGCAATGAAATAACATAAAGAAAACCAAGCAAATATTCCGACGGATTATTCGCTTTATGGTAGGAAATAAAAAAAATATGTTTTCAAGAATGTGTGCATATTTCCAACAATAGCAGATTTGCACGTTGTCGTCATTTTACTACAACTACCAGAATTCCTTTCGTTTTTTCTTTATGTTTTAAATTTTGAATTCCCAGTGGGGTTTAAGTAACAATTGCCCTGATTAGCACAAGAAACAGAAAAAGTGAAGGATTCTGGTAGTTCTAGTCAAATGAGGCCATCATGCAAATCGCCTATAAGTTCACTAAAAAAAGAGAAAGTACAGTATTTACTCACAACAACTCTTAGGAACGCATCTGTAGGACCTGGAATCTGCAGCTCATCTTTATATTTGCCTTTCTTACGAGTGTATTGTATAGTTGTGTTAGCAGCAATCACTGTTTGAACTTTTGAGCTTTTTGCACCGCCCACTAAATGTGTCCCGTTGTCTGTTTGAACCCCTAAAAAGATCACTGCCAGAGTTAAACCTCCAGAACATAAATGTGGTTCGAGTTATTAAAAACATGTACATGTAATACACATGTATGCGGGCATTCAAGAGAAAGTACTCTCGAATACTTTCACGTGGTATTGCTCATTAAGCTGTACAAGGAGGTTCTAACTTGTGTCTGTGGATGAAACCCCAGTGTGTGAACATTAAAATGAAAGCTATTGAGTGGTAATTTCATGTGGTACTGTTTATTACGCTGTACAAGGTGGTTCTCACTTTCAAGTCTGTGGATGAAACCCTAGTGTGTTACCATTCAAATGAAAGCTATTGAGCAGTACTTTCATGTGGTACTCTTTACTAGCTGTGCAAGGTGGTTCTTACTTTCAAGTCTGTGGATGAAACCGTAGTGTGTGGATCATTCAAATGAAAGCTACTGAGCTGTACTTTCATGTGCTAGTTTATTATACTGTACAAGGTTGTTCTAACTTTCAAGTCTGTGGATGAATATCTATTATGTGACCACTAAAATGAAAGCTATCGAGCAGAACTTTCATGTGGTGCTGTTTATTTTGTTGTAAAAGGTAGATCTGACTTGTAAATCTGTGGAAAAGCCCTTTAGTGTGGCTATTTAAATAACTGCTACTGGACAGAACTTTAGTGTAGTGCTGCTTGATATACTTCGACATGCTCTACAAGGTACGTGGTTTTTACTTTTTTAAGTTTGTGGATGAAACCCGGTGTATGACCACTCAAATGAAAGCTGTGGAGAAGTACTTTCTTGCGGTCCCCGGGGGGTACTCCCAGAAAAATTGCCTGGGGGTGTGCGGCCCGCTTCCCAAAACCCCTTCCCTATTTCTGACCAAAATCTGCGATTTTCCCTACCCTATTCATGACCTGACTACCCTATTTATGACCGTTGCGACTGGCACAGTTGCCCTAAACATAATTTATGGAGGGCTTCTATTGATGATCTTATCGATAATGATGAAAAAGTAGCTTCTTCTAAAAAGCTTACCCAATTTACGACTAGAGTGCAAAAACCATACCCTATTTATGACAAAAATGGCCAAAATCGATACCCTGTTTATGACCAAAACGGCTGAAAACCCATACCCCTTGGGGCCGCACAGACCTATATACCCATATAAGGGAGTACCTCCCCCCGGGCTTGCGGTACTGTTTATTTATGCTTTTCAATGCGGTTTACACGTAACTTGAGAACTTAGTCTATAGTGTGTGATAAATCAGATGAAAAGTATTGGGTATTGTAAGGTGGTTCTACTTTTAGTCTGTGAATGAAACCATCGATCTTGTGTGATCATAGGGAAGCTATCGATCAATATTTATGTAGTACTGCTAGCTGTTATGTGCAATGCGAACTTTTCGATAATTAGTGAGAGACATGAAAATCGGAAAGCTTCACTATTTTGCTACGTGTTCTCACCAATGTAATTATTGGATGATTTCCTCATCAGGAAATGGACACTATAAGAACCCACTGGAAGTCTGACCATTAGGTCTGCTTTATCAGCACCTAGAAAAAAAAACCATCGAAACCATCATTAGCTAGCCTAGCGTGAACGTCCGTGCGAGAGAAATCGTCAATAAAATCTGTCATCCGTAATTAAATAATATACGCTACGCCGTTAACCATTTGTTAATTGCTGTTCATCCTGGATTAATTAATGCCATTAAAGCCATCATTATAAAAAAAAATAGAGAAAAACTCAAGAAAAACAGGAACATCAGGTAATATACTTATTGAATGAGCTAGGTTCGGCCTTGATATTCATTTGAAAATTTGATTCTCGATCATTTTGTACGAAAATGACTGTGCTTGGTCCGGGCTCCATGGCAGAGGAAAAAACAAACAAAAGCGTACACACTGTCGGTGAAGGATACAAAATTTGTGATTACCTTTCACTTTATGAGAAGTAGTGTAATTAGAAGAAACGATGAAGCAAGTGTCTCCATCCCCACCACACTTTCCACATCGATCAATCATTGTATTGGATTTAAGCACGTGGTCGCAGCCTACAGGCTGAAAATGATAATAGAAATAACAATAATTGCACGAGGATGAGCGAAATATCGTGTAATAATAATAATAATAATAATAATAATAATAATAATAGTGGTAATAATAACAATAACAATAACGACGACAACGATAACGACGACGACGACAACGACAACGACAGTGACACTGACAGTAATAATAATAATAATAATAATAATAATAATAATAATAATAATAATAATAGTAATAATAAAAGTAAAAGTAAAAATAATATTTAACGAGGGAACCCAACTCGCCATGGCGGTTTTCAGGGGCCCCCTCAAAAAACCAGTCTTTCGCTGCTTCATCAGTAGAGAGCGGATCGGAGTAGTCAACATGGCAATCTGCAATCCGATAATTCTGGAACACGAGCCACCCTCTCTCAGGAAGGGATGGAGCTATACACTTACATTGTTGAGTGAGCCAATAGCAGACGCTTACACCTCCGCACACTCGAAAAGTTTTCGGTTCAGGACACTCGAAGGTTGACACGCCAGCCTTGCACAAACTACTCCTCCGTACTCCTGTGTCCAGTCAAACAAAGTAAACCGACACTAGCCTCACGCTACATACTATACTAACGTTAGTGGTAGCGTCGTCAGCTCTTGGCGCTTAGCGTACCCAAATTCGCAGTCAGCCAATCAGAAGCCGCGTCTACCGTCTTGAAATCCTGCAATATCAAGTCACTGACCTGACATGGCTACGATATCGTGGCCACTCAGCCGAATTTGGATACGTCTCGCCCAAATAAGAACCATGGCGAGCCAAACGAGCATGACAGTGCATATATGCTTCTCAAACTCATTATTAATTGGGTCTTAATTCATCAAGTTGAAACAACAACAACAAAAAAATCACAATCGCGAAGGAGGTTTGGATACCCGGTCTTAATTAGCATAGATTTTGACGATTTTACTTCTCCGTTTACTCCTTAGTTTTGTTTCGATTGAGAAGGTATATCAAACACTCGAGAAAGTGTTTCATCGATTATGCAACGCCTCGAATTTCGTCAAAAATACTCCGCTGCGCGTCGTATTTTCAACTTTCTTCTCGGTGTTTGGATATTCCGATGAAACACTGTCTCTCGTGTTTGATATATTACCTCTGAAGCGTACCAAAAAGGTAGGATTAGGTAAAATAATAATCTGAAGCACACCAGTGTTTGGGCTGACTTGGTTGCAGAGTCCCATAAGAGCTCAACACTGTTTTAAACTATTCTCCGTTCAGAATAAGTATTTCGCCTTATTCTGCTAGGAAAAACCATACTGGGTTGCTTTCATCTTTCTCGTGTAAATTAGGTCAAGGGAATGATTGAATATTCTTCAAATGTTTAGTTGTCGATCGTGCGTTTTCTTCGATCTAAATCATCAGTTCTAAATACGTACACGTAAACGTTGTAGCGGCCTCAACCTTGATAGTCTAACTAGATTCAAATCACTTCTGTTCCCTTCCTTTTTCGTTTAAGCTGTGGTGTGCAGTTTTAAAAGGGAGTAGGCCATGCTACCCCAACCATGTAACGTTGCTGTGAACACCATACTCACCTGACAACTGCCTTGAATGCACACATCTAAGTTGGTCGGAGACTCATTCAATGTACATCGTGTTCCGTCTTTGACAATACCGTAACCAATAGCAGTCCTCCCAGATATACACCAGAGGGCACAGGGACCTGAATGGAATTACACACAGCGGAATCGCGATTTTTCGAACGTCCATAGGAAACGAAAACTGGTTGAAAATGGGGTAATTCGAGAGATTGGGGGGGGGGTAAAATTACTGTTGAAATTGCTTGACTGAGGGGAGGGGAACAACTTCTGGTTTTGGTTGTCGGGAGGTTCGAAAAATTGAGGGTTCGAGAAATCGGGATTCCACTGTATTAAAAAAAAAAAAAAAGAAACGTCACACAATTTCTACTATTTTAGCATTTTGACCCTGATTGTGTCGATCACTCCCTTTCAAGAGCGACAAGAGACCACGCCAAGAGCAACAAAAATTGTAACAAATCAACTACCAAGCTATACATAAAATACAAAGGTAACAGACTACAGTTCACGAGGCGAAGTGCGATACACATGCAAGCGCTAAGAGCAAGCGCCAGGAAACGTGGCGCGTGAGACGTATAAAAACCGCTTGCACCGCAGGCTAGGGTAACTATAGTTTGCAAGTAAAGATAAAACATGAAGGCTTTGTCTAGGGCCGTTAAGCCACCAGGCCTACCACCACATCAGTAGGCACCGACAATAGAGGATCCTCTCTTTACACCGACTAATAATAGTTCACTTCAGCTAGTAAATATTCATCGCCTTCAACTTAACGATGGAACAAAATCAGCATCACGTCATACTTGACTTCTGATAATAGGGAGCTGGGCTGTTCCTCTGGGAGCATTGTTCTTGTCTAAAGGTTTTGGATATATCTTTCGGACACGCCTGCAAAATGAAAGCAAAAACAAGGGTTTCTTAATTTGTCGGTTTCTATAGTCTTATTAGCCCATTAAGATTATTTCGGGCAGCCATGTACTCTTTTTATTTTAAACTTATTTTTGTTCATTTAATTTCTAGCTGAATGAATGAGTACAAATAAAGTTATTGTTGTTGTTATTGTTGTTGTTGTTGTTGTTGTTGTTCTATAAGATTGGAAATTATCCTCGGTAATACACGGCTTTGAAAAAGTAACTGACATCAAATCTGGTTTATTTGTTTCCCCTTGTTCGTCTCTCGTTTGTGAAGAATGCAATCTTACTACCAAACAGTTTTGCTTGTAACAAATTAAAATGGCTACGTCATCTTCAGAAAAAGAACATTTCCGAGTCGCCTTCTGCCTCGGTGTCAAAACGAGTCTTCGTGCGAAACCAATGTTTTTGTAACAATGCAATTTAATTCATTTTATTATTTATTTTGTTCCATACATCGTTCGTATTTTGATCGAGCTTACTTGGCTCTTAGGCGTAATGTGTATAAATAAAGTGTCGATTGACATGCGTTCGGCCTACACTAAGTTCATTTTCACGCAACTCAAACTTTTCTTCATGTGAAAAGTTTTGCACGAGGATTTGTTTTGAAACAAGGCACAAGGAAACCCGGAAATAACCTCTTTACCAGTTTTTCTTTTTCAAGTTTGAGGGTTATTATCCCGTCGTAAATTCCTTCAGTCGTAGTTATCTTATGAACCTAGTTCCCAGGGCTTCCCTTGAAGTTGCCCTTCCAAATTTAAAGGTAAAAGTCCGTAGAGCGATGTTACATACTTGTTTATTTTTGGATTTACTTTGGATTGTTAGATAACTTCCTACATATCATAACCAACCTGAGAGTTACAAATTCTCCACTCTTTGTCTGTTCCCTTGCATGGAGACCCTCCGTTAGATGGGCTAACAACAGGACGAAAATGGTCTATGATTAATTGACACTTTCAAAAGACGTTAGTTAACAAATACCTGGTAAACCAAGTAGATATCACATCCTAGTACAGGAAAGAACATAGTTGTCACATCCTAACTGGACAAAAACGTAGTTGTTGCATCCAAGCAGAGAATAAACATTGCGTAAGGGTGTTAGAGTACCAAGAAATGACAAGCCTTCTCCCTATCCCTTGAGGATTGCTGGTGTACATATCAGACAAGAGGACGCTAAGTGAAGAAGTATTGAAGTGACGCCACTTTCTACTCCAGGGCTGCCTGTGGTTTCTGCACGTAGCCCCGTGGTAACAGCGCGCCAGTTTGAGCAAAAGACAACAATTAAAGCATGTTTTTATTGTGAGGAGTAAACAGTTCTTTAGCTGTACATATGAATTTTCAAACTTACACAGGATTTCTACAAACTCTCGTTCTGTACTGCACTCCTCCACCACAATTCCTGGTACATGACGAGTAAACTGACGGCCACGCGCTCCATTTTCCATGGATTCTCGGTCGACCATTGTCCCCACACTCTCCGCCTATGCACCACTACAAACCGACAATGCAATTAATTGTAAATCGAGGAGTTCCACTCACAGCCGTCGTTTTAGTCACCTTCACAGCTGTTATTTAGGTAATCGAGCAACACTTAATTCGCCCACTAACGGCTGTTTCAGCCAGAATTGCATTCTTTTTCCAGGGAGCCCTCATAAGCTATCGTGTCTTGCGCTTTGTGGCGGCCATTTTGAACTTCAAATACGCGGCCTGCTAGTGCGAGGTCTGGAACCGAAGTTAAAATTCAAAATGGCCGCCAGAAGACACGTAAGACAAAACACAAGAGTTTATCATTCGCTTACACTCTAAACTGTAGTGAGGGTTCCCTCTGTCTTTCGTGTGGTTTAGCCAGTGACGGCTTCAAGAGAGGTGTTGCGTGACGACGTTTTCATCTCTGACTACCTTCAAATTAATCCTGTCTAAGACCTTCCTTTTCGTTTTATTCTGCCATCTTTTTAGCCTTATTGTAATCACCTTTTTTGTCACACTGTATTCTCGTCTCACAGATTTTCTTGGCACAAGCGTTGTGAACATCTTAATAGTTTCTGTCACGAGGGACGTCCGTGATCACTTTCGGCTGTAGCTTTTATCACAATTAACATTCACGCAACGCAGTAAACATCAAAACATTCCTTGATAGATTTCAGTTAGTCGTTAGTTCCTTTAAATGCAAAAATAAACTAGATTTCCTGCGATTGTTATCAACTTCATCCCTCCGTTTTGACTGAGAACACTTTACCTTGAAATTGTTAAAACCAAGTTTACACATGGAGACTTTTACATACCGAACGGACTCCACATGGACTCCCGTCCGCTACTGGTGCGGTATAGCTCAGCTGAGTGCCATCTTTGAAGCAGTACAACGTACCACAAACACCCTGAAATTGCATTGACAAATGAGACTCGAAAGGAGTGTTTCAAACGTAGAATCTACGTTTCGTAGTTGTGTAATTTTATGTTAACGCATCAGTATACCCCAAAAGACCACAATTCCTTGGCGCCGCGTTACGTCCAGACGTTTGACGCAAACCCCAGTGAGGTATATATTTTCTGAAAGCTTAAGGATTGTAAATTACGAAGACATATTCATTGAAATAAAAGTATAAGGTTTTCAAATATAGCCCCTAATTTTCCAGAGAGGTTCACTAATCAACTAACGCTCGCAACACCAGCTTTCCCCTGCGCAGTCTTAAATTACCTTTATTAATGATTATTTCAAGACTATATACTTTATTCGTATTTAAAAAGATTTCTTAAAACATAGAACGGTAAAACGAACGATAAAGTCATGACTCCATAATCAAGAAAAAATACATGTTCGATCATACAAATTAGAGCATTTAAAGCGATTGATTGATTATTTCATCTCTATATATAACACTTCCACTCACACAACGTACATCTTTTTCAAACTAATCACCCTTATTGCGGGGCACGGGTACGAACACAGGCAAAGACATCAGTGCTAATGACGTCATAAATGCGTCTGTCCTCCAGTTGATCATAAGTAAGGACCAATCAAAATGCGAGAATAATTCGACAAATAGAGCGTTTTCACTCACGTGGCCAGTACACATGCAAATTTATGTGAATAAAAGAAAGTGTTTGCATACGAAAAGAGGTCAATTCCCATAGATCGGTTTGGTACACACGGCAACATGGCCGCCGTTTCATCGTTTTGGAACACCAATATGGCTGCCGTGACGTCATGTGTAGACACTCTATTATATCTTACGCTGTACATGTATAGTTTACGTAGTCTGTACAAACTCTGAGTTAAAGAAGAAAGAAAAGGGATGTAGGTTTAACGCACATTCATGTTATTTAACGGTATATTTACCGCTTGATATGGCGACATTCTCCACCCAGTGCCATACTGCATGACACATTGATCGTCTCCGCTGAATATTTCCCCAGGGAGTTTTCCTTGGTACTGAGGGGGGAGAGCCGGAAGTGGAGCAGCAGTTGGTGGGTCATTTAAACACCAGGACCGTGCCTCGTTTCTGCCGTGAAATCAAAGAATCGATAATGACCAAGCTCACAACAGAACGATGGCACATGATTGAATCCTTAGCTTTCGTTACACCAGGCCCCGATGGATCTTTCTTTGTTCGGTTTCTTCAAAACAGGGGGAAACTGGTGCCGAACTGTGTTAAATCAGTTGAAAGGATATAATTTCTTCGTATTTCGAAATTACGCAACAGTTCGAAGTTTCTTAGTTTTCTCCACATGAGCATTCTTCTTCGACTGATTTGTGAAAGGTCCATTTTATCCTTTAAGATGATTAAGAGTCTAATTTGAAAATGTATTAAAATAACCAAAGACGTTCAGTTTCGAAATACAATCAGGATTTCTATCCCATGGAATCTTTTTTTTTTTTTAAATTTATTAATGCATAAACCACACTTACAAGTTCAACATGCACTATAAACTAGTTGTATAAATATACATACATTTCATTTCTGTTACAACAGCACTTTATCATCGTTATAAGGAACATCTGGAATCGAACACCAAAGGCAAACTTACTTCAGAAAATCTTGTAGGACATTTCGGGAACAGTTTGACCACGTGGCAGCATAAACACCCCCCGGCAAAGAGGCAGCCATAATATATGCATTTGAATTGCACCCCACATCTTTGTCATGAGCTAACTTGAAGCTGTGAAGACACAAGGCATGTCAGTACGAAAGAGGAAAGACACTCCACCATAAAAATCCCGAATCACGCCACTATTTTTGGCTCAATCCCGCCGATCCCGCTCCACTCAGAATTACCTATCCCGATCCCACTCATCGTGGAAAATCTCTGGATTAGCATATACACTTGCTAGAATGTTGGCTGAACTTTCCCAGAAAACGTTTTATCCAAGAACGAATTTGTGCCAACAATACTTAATTACTTGCTACCCTTATGCCTGCTGGCATGTAAGGCAGCAGTGTCTACAATAAATGGAATTTCTTAAAGAATATATTCAGGGCGGATGCATCGGCAGTCTCCTCCCAGGAGTTGTTTAGGGAGTCATTTCATGTTTGTAAACTCCCCACGAGGAAGCGTGAATGAAGAGAATCTTCATGAATGGGTTGAAGGGTTGGGTGGCGACTTAAATAAAGGTAAAGGATATAAAATACGTCGTATTTATGTTCACATCCTTTTCTTTTCTTTTGTCCACTTTTTTTCACTTACTTGTGACCCGTCTCGTGTGCGACGTGCAGTGCAGTTTGAAGACCAAGATCAGCTTGAACGTTACCATTTGAACGGGACTTGGAGCACATGCTGTTGATAGGAGCGAGACCTGGGAAATAGGGATGAGAAATTTCGTAACAACAATGAACTGGTTGGTGTACTTTTCAGAAAGTACCGTGTGGATATATCTAATATATGTATATATATTTTTGAAACCTGATATGTTCGCTAAAGCGTTGCAATATATATTAGCTCATGGAAGTTCATGAGTCTGCTATTTGCATGTAGAAGCCTAAATCTATCGCGCATTAGGGATAACAAACATCTCTTACCTCCGACAGGTATTTTACTGCAAAAAAAAAAAAAGAAAGAAAAAAGAAGAAAAGAGAGAGAAAAAACACAAAACAAAATGAATAAATAAGTAAAAAATAAATATTTTGAGAAAGTAATTGGTAACTTACGAATAACAGTTATTTATATCATGATTAACTTAATTTTTCAACGTTAAATCAAGTCTTTGCTGTACATATTTTTATCAAATAGCCTAGAGAACAAATGAGAGAAAATTTGCCCCGTCTACACACACACACACACACACACACACACACACACACACACAACATTTCTTACACGACGACGAGCAAATTTCGCTTCCGATAAACACTGGAAACTGCGTCAGATTTGGCTTCCGTGGCTGTTGTTTGCATCACTGGGAGGGGNGGGACTCCAAGTGAAAAGGTCGGAGATGCTCGTCGTCTCTCTTAGGGGTGTAAATCACGGACTTTGGTCTCATCTAGGGTGATCACGACGAAATGCCACTATTTTTAACCGCCACCTTAAATTTTCAAAACTTTAAGGTGGCTCTGAACCCAATGTGCATATTATTTTTAAACTTCGCCAAAAGTTGCGTCTTATTAACATTTGACAATATAAAAACAATTTCACCGTGCCGCTTTTGAATTGTAAGCACCTGTAGGGTGTTTTAGCGGATCATGCTGTTGCTATGGTAACCTATTGTGTCACAAAAATAATAACAACGTGTTCACCAATGACTGGGCAGTTTTTTGATATCATGATTGTAGCATTAAGTGATAAAGAGTGGTTATATTGACCCATCAAAATCTAAGTACTGTAAACTGTTTTGAGCCACCTTAAGCAGCCCCAGCTTTTTTAGGATGGTGAGCCAACTATGACCATGAAAACAATACTCAATTCCCTCTTAAAACGCGCCTACAGCGAGTCAGGGTAGTTGAACTCATCATCTTGGACTGGACATTTGTTTTGATGAATACAACTAACATGACAAGTTTTGGATGCTAACCATTCATTGCCCATATAAATTTCCACACTTTTGGGTAACAGGTGAACATTTCTTAACCCCTCTTGTTCACAGCCAAACTAGAAGCTTGTCTTTAGCCTAATCATTCTACGCCAATCCGCACATAGATTTGCAGACTATTAACATTACCAAAAAACATTCAATAACAGGTCTATTGAAGTACAGTTTTCACGTGACCCTGTCAATCATACCAAATGGTCGTAAATCCAATTGAATGCCAGAAATGCCGAATTCTTTCTATAAGATGCGCCTGCAGGGAATCATGGTAGTTGAACGCATCATCTTGGACTGGATATTTGTTTTGATGAATACAACTACCAAGATTCCCTGCAGGCGCGCCTTAAAGAGGGAACTGGCCATTTATAGGCATGTGTTTTTAGGGTTATTCATCTACTATGTTAATTGACTTTTTGTTGCGGAGATGGAATACCGTATTTTTTTGATTAAACGCCGTCGGCAATTATTTCAAACCAAGGGACTTGGTTTCAAACACGTCGTAGGTCCGGAATATGTTTGGGCTTTGCAGTTTATTCGAGCCTGGAGATTTTATTCCGGCATTAATTTAGAGTGCCAAGTAACCATTATTAAACCCAAAGTTTATAATACCTCGAATATAAATAATTGACAACCTGGGGATCTTTTTGTCAATCCATCTGAGAGGCCTGACCTTTATTCAGGACTCGACGTTTAATCGAGAAAACACGGTACTTATACACAAAGCGAAGGCAAAACAACAACAACAACAACAACAAACAAACAAGAAAAACCAAACCAAACGAAAAATAATAATAATAATCGGCTTCTCAGGCCTTACTTCTTCTCCGATAATGCAAAGTCTCCCTTAAAAGTATTTACAACGCTATCTAGGTAGACACACGTACTTTGACACATAGCTAAACACGTCATAATGCTCCGGGTCATTATCAGCCTTGTTTACTGCAGGAAATGTCCATCTCATCATTTTTTTCAGTTTCTGGCTGTCACTGTCACTGGCTTTGAAACCGGCCTGAAAACCAAAAAAAACAAAAACAAAATAGGTTCAATAACGACAACAAAAATAACACCACAAACAACAACAACGACAACAGTAACAGAACAACTTTAAATATTTTCAATAAAAACTGCGAATTACAGTGCAATCCACATTTCAATCGAGTCTAGCGAAAATATGATCGGATAATTGTCCGCGGACATAATCTGTTCCGAGAAGCGAACGGTTTTAAAAGAGTTTTGGAAAACTGCGAGCTTCGAGGAACACATAATGTCCAGGGACAAATATCCTAGAATGCTTTCACGCCAAATGGAGGCTATTGTGCTTATCATTCGTCAAATATTTTTTGCAACACGCGCAGTTTTGAAAAGTTAGGAATATATAAACAATAGCCTCCATATGGCGCGAAAATGTGTTTGCTCGCCGACATTTTCTGTTCCGAGAAGCGAACAGTTTCTCGAGGAAATTGTGAGCTTCGAGGAACAGATAATGTCGGCGGACAAATATCCGAGCATATTTTCACGTTAAATGGAGGTAATTGTGTATATTATCCTTAGCTGGGGCATATTCAGTCACATGACGCGTCTATACCAATCGTACACAAGCGAAAATATTTGGCAGATGATGAGAGAATTGATTCGCAAAATTGCGAATTCAAGGTATCTGAAGTAAAATTCTAGAGAAAAAATAAACTACTAGTAACGACTTTTGGGTTGGGAACGAAACTTGACTCGACAATTTGGAATTTCGAGGTATCGAGGGTAAAATAATAGTGAAAGAAATGCAACTAAGGGGACGAATCTTGGTACAAGTTATCAGCACGTTATCAGTAAAAAAAAAAAAATTATTGTCCCAAACCTTGCATTTGAATTATCACAGTGTTCCGCGTAAATTCGCAAAATAGGCCATTTCCGAGCAGCCTTTTGCCTCTGCTTCAAAACGAGTCTTCGTGCAAAACCATTCAAATGGAAATGTGTTCCGCCTATAGGTTCATTGTCATGCAACTCAAACCCATTTTCAGATGAAAGATTTTTCACGAAGACTCGTTTTGAAACAGAGGCACAAGGTTACTCGGAAATGGCCGTTTATCAATCTAATGACGTCAGCACAATGGTAACTGATACGTACCTGTTCATCTGTTGAATTGAGAACAATGATCTTGGTGACAACGTAATAAACCTTTATGTCTCCTATGGAAGGATCTTGAAACATACCGGCAACCTGGCAAAGCAGAACAAACCAGTGTTACGTTGCATAGTATTTTGGTGCTGTATTGCCAAGTAAAAGCAAAGCATTTATGTGAATCTCGCCCAAATAAAGAGGCTTCAAGTTTAGCGAGCCTCTCGTAAAAACTGGAACGTATATACGAGTCAATTAAACCTACCGATCTACAACGAACCCACATATTACAAACCTCGAGCCCGCATGAGCAAATTCCCCCGATGTAAATAATTCACATCAGTAACAATACCCCGATATAATGAGCCCACATATTACAAACCCCCGATACAACGAGCCCGCATAAAACCAAATCTCCCTCAGTCGATGCAGTAAACCTTCCGATGTAAACGCCTAACACGCACCCAACAAACGTATGACTCAACGAAGTTTCCAAAAAAGGAATCTAGATGAAGCGAACCC